CTGCAAAAATGCTAATGAAACAGTAACGCTCCTAAACACTACTATACATTACGAACATGCTACTATGAGCCGACACAAAATTGCTATTATAAGCATTTTTCATCCATGTTTTTTTTTTTATCTATCATTTTTTGAGCTTTTGAAATATGCTATTGTGCATGGAGCATTAAGATGTTTATAGGGGATAGCAGAAGCAAGAATTTGAGTTTACTACACAACTACAGAAAATCAGACAAACCACTTCCTTTTCACAATCTGCAATATCACTTCTTGTTTATGACGTGTATTTTATTTCACACAGGAAAGGTTACACATTAACTCTGCATGCACATTGTACATGTAACAAACTGCACTCTTTAGGGCTTCTTATCACTGGACACATTGGAAGAATGAAGTGATAATGGGATGCTAAAATATAAGAGGTGACAACAAAATGCGGCATGAGCTCAGTACTTGATGTCATATGGGTGCTCTTATGCAAGGGTACACTGCCTATTTGCTGCTGGGAAATGTAATTCATTGTAGCCCATCATCCTATTATAATCACATTGATTTCAGTAAGACAAATGAATCCTTCACAGGTAGATGCATGTTAACTGCAGTTTATACCGGTGTGTACCAAACGGCCAGGCCTGCTCACTTCTAGTTTTCTTGCTAGAATTGCAGTCTGCATCATTGTCAGCTGTTAGAATGCATGAGATGTTTGAATGCAGTTTGCATAGAAGGGGGATCAGCAGGCTGCTGTAATGCAGGTTCCCACAGTTACTTATGGTTGGCCAGCACAGTCTCTGCATGAACCAGGACAATAGGATGACACAGCTGTATGTTAAAGGCACAGTGTTCTTCTGTGTCACTAGAATAAGCATTTCATTTCCTGATTCAGCATGAACTCTTGCTTTTGTCACTAAAGACAAACTGAAATATCAGTTTTTTTCTTTTGGTAGAGAAGCTTTTCTAGTGCTAACTTTATAGTGCTTTGTGTCATTTAATACCATAGTGTAAACTACAAATGATTGCTACTCCCTTTAGCAAGCAACATATTTTAGCTTTCATCTGCATAGCGTAATAAAACAACTGAAATATGATTTCTGATTAAATACTATGAGCCAGGCAGGCCCTAGATGGGCAGATTTTCCACTGAGGATCACACTATAAAGTGGTGCTCAGCTGCTGAGCAGAAACAGCACATGCATGGTTAAAGTGTCACAGTACTTGCTAATGTGAATGTCTGGCACCAACAGGCAAATATATAAAGAGAAGATGTTTTGCTTATAACTATACAAAGGTCTTGCATGCAATGGTCTTTAACCTCTTCATGACAGAGGGTAAAACAAATCCTAATGCCTGAACAGTTTTGCAACTTTGACATTTACCAGGAAAACTGTACACATCATCGCACTTGGTGTATCCAGGTCAATTATACCTTTTTTTTTTTTTTTTTTTAGGACAAATTGCATTTTCGTTTGGTGGTAAATAGTAATTTATATCTCTTGATTTTTTTTTTTTTATTATTGAAGAAAACCCAGTTGTTAGTACAGGATCTGGTGCTCTTGGTAAGAGCCCTGTCTCTGTGCTGTGCAGTGCACTTGTAGCACAAACATAAGCCCCATTTCTGAAAGGACGCATATATGTGTACAGTTGGCAGGAAGGGGCTAATGGAGAAAATGTTGTTCCAGGCTCTCTCCAGCGCTGATCACGTGACCTGAAAACTAAATCCTTTTGCTTTTGGCCACCATACATAATTTATTGGCACCTGAAATCTAGCCCTGCAAATTTGAAGGAAGGTTCTGTTAAAGTGGTTGTGAACCTCAGTCATGAAATCTGAACAAAGCACATATATCTATAGTGTTTACTTGTCATACTCCAAAGCTCAAAGTGTCATTTCTCTCTGTTGATTGTTCCTCTATTATCAACATGTGTCACTTCTGAGTTTTCCCAACACCCTAGATCAGGGGTGTCAAACTCCATTTCATTACGGGCCATATCAGCATTATGATTGCCCTCAAAGGGCTGGTTGTATCTGTAAGGCTAGATGTCCACAGCACCCCACCCCCTCCCCCTCATTACATCAGATGTCAAGAATCCCACACCCTCCCTAACATCACCATGCACCCCCTTTGGGGGCAGAGCTGGATTGCAAAAAGTGCAGGGTCTGGAGGAGGACCAGAGGAGGAATGGAGTCAGTTACCAGAGTCTGCTGAATGCTGAGACCAGGGGAGGCAGAGAAGAGGAGGTGCCTGTAACTGCACTGAGAAGTGCAGGATTTGGCAGAGGAGTTCTATTCTCTTTGCTGCCGACTGCTGAGACAAGGTGGGGGCAGAGACATGGGGGTGCCTGCAGGAGAAGTGCAAGGGCCACATAAAATGGCCTGGAGGGCTGTGGGCCTTGTGTTTGACACCTGTGGCCTAGATAAAATGGTGATGAGGAGGGTGCTCAGCACATAGCTTATCTACTCACAACATAGCTCTGCATGTTCCTTCTTCCTGTGCAGTATGTGGATGAGGGGGTGTCCCTTACAAGAGCTTAACTGCAGCTCCCTGCCCCATCCTCTGTGATACTAATCGATGTTATCTAAATCTAGCCCTTTTAAAGGGTTGTAGAAAACATTTAACTGCTCCTAAACTCTGCTGCTGTTAAAAGCCTGTGTGCATGGCCACAGAAGCTATTATTGAGTTGAATTCAGGGGCTTTGGCGAAAGAATACCAAAAGCTCCTGAACTCATGTTTAGCAGCAGCAGTGTGCGAGTCCTTGCTGTGTCATACTGTAGATCCGTATATTGTTAAATTCAGATAATCTAACTTCTCAACGGTGATCTTCTGGATTTTTCTTGATACTATATACTGTACTTATTGGTCACAAAAAGGCAATACTAATATGCCTTCTGCAGCCACCAGTCATATTCAGTGCAGCCTAGAAAGGTTGTGATGTGTGATGCAGGAAGCAGTATACGGCTAGTGCCCTTCTACTGACCCTGCAAAGTGGTCTGTGTTTTCTTTGACTACAGTAGATTACAAATTGAGGTATATTATTGATATGTCTAATTTTAGCACAGCTGCAGAGTTCTGGAGTGCATTAGTAGCAGAGTGATTGGTTTCACTTGTTGCATGTAATGAAACATACAGAGTTCAGAAATCCAGTTTAATGAGGAAATGTTAGGCTTGATATTCCAGAATATATCAAGATGCTTCCTGACGCCCAAGGCCAAATTCTTCCAGTCTTCTAAAAAAACAAAAAGAATTTATGAGCTGCCATCAGTGGAGGGCTATGACTAAACAATTGCATAGGTATGAGTGTGTTTTGACACCTGTGTATTTTCAGTATATAGCAGATGTGGTGTGTTGGAAAAGGTTTCTGCAATTTTATGTGGTTTACAGCAAGTCATGCTTTTAACCGATATATTTAGATTGTCTGATTTTGTCCTAGAGCAACAAGTATTTGGCTTTTTTTTTGGTATTTTTTACCTATTTTGAAAACAAGGAATTAATATGCTGTATACACTTTTACATACATACACGGTATTTTTTGTAGATTGACAGTTCTACAGTCTGCCCTGTTGTGGGCAGCATTGCCAGCTTTGGAGCTTTTAGACATACAGTAGGCGCCATCTAGTGTCTGGTATAAGGAACTGCAGTTTCAAAAGCACTCATTTACTAGCTCTTACTACAGTTTTATAAATTGTTACTGTATATTCAGATGAATATGCACATTATGGCTGTCATTATGTCCTGCTGGTTAGGCAGATTTTAAAGGCTGTCCATAAGATGGAAAAGTCCAAAACTATCCATCCTATACATGTGTACATCCAGTGGCCTGTATTTAGTGCCCAACAGAACCATCATGTCCTGGTGTGTTGTGTTTAATGTACTTGCTCTAGTGTACGCTTTATTGCACATTAATGTGTATTTTGTTCAGGCAGGCCATTCATCTGAACAGATGGCCAAAGCAGCAGAATACACAAAGTGCATGCACTATTTTTATCAATGCAGCACACCACAACATAGAGTAGTAACGCCACTTGTTGTGCTGCAACGCACATGTGTTGGGAATATACACCAGGGTGCCATTGAGCATGAATGGCACTGCAGCGCCCCAGTGCACATAAAATGCATTATTGTCACATATTTCTGCAATGCTTATTGTTAATTCAGCCTTAAGGAAGATCTATCAATACAATTTTATTTACAGCTCTGTAGAACTTTGTTCCATGTTTCTAAGTGCTTTCTAAGCATTGTTATGAGTACTGACCTGCCTCTCTCCCCTCCTGCAGAGCCAAAAACAGCTTTGAAAGAGACGGTTGATTCAAAGCTGCAGCTTGTCTTGGCTGTGAACACTTACCCAAGCCTAGCAATGTCAGGAGGAATTCTGAGGCTGACACTTCTATCCTCCCTCTCAATTCCACTCGCCTTGCTTATCTTGGAAACGTTTTCACAGCCAAGACAAGCTATGATTATGAATCAGTTATCTCCTTTATAATCTTCTTTAAGGAAACCTGACCCAAGAGAAATACAGTATGTTGGTTGCCATTGCTGAACTGGTCTTCTAAAAATGCTGGTTATTATTATTATACAGGATTTATATAGTTCCAACAGTTTGCGCAGCGCTTTACAAATTGAAGGTAGACATTACAGTTACAATACAATTTGGTACAAGAGAAAACAGAGGGCCCTGCTCATTAGTGCTGGCTGTGCTTTTGATGCCTAGGCTTTAAAAAATTCTTTGACTCTGAAATATTAGGGGAGACACAACCAGCCAGCTCTGTCATGACAGGTGTACTTCAAAATGTAGCAATTGATTACATTGGCCGCATTTAATAGATCTGTCTATCTGTGGGACTGTGGTACACATTTTTTAAATAGTTGTACTATTACAGTTGTCTGACAGTTGTACTTCATGGAAAATGCAAATTTTTTATTTTTAAAAAATCCCTCTTGTATCACTCTTGTAAAAAAAAAAAAAGTTAATCATATTTATGCTTATTTACTTTTAATAGTGATATCATTCTTCTTTCCAGATGCAGTGACTGTGGTGTGTCTTTGTCCCATCGGTACTATGAAAAGGACGGAAGACTTTTCTGTAAAAAGCACTACTGGGCACGGTTTGGTGGCATGTGTCAGGGTTGCTCAGAGCACATCACTAAAGGACTAGTTATGGTACGTACAATGAAAAGCAAGTGCCAGCTCCCTAAAATCTTAGATATACTTCTTGTGTCTATGTGTTGTGATTGTGAGTTGTAGCATTCCTTATGCTGAAGGCTCAAAAGTGGCTTCATTGCAGCAAAGAACAAGTTTTTAATCAAGGGAATGGAGACAAGGGCATCATTGGTTGTAGTTGTACTCTGTGTGAATATTGCTTAGTGCCTGAAACAAACAGAATCAGGATGTTACTAGAGACCCAGAACTTTCATGTACTGTACATGATATTTGTCTTCGAATGCTGCAAGCTGAAGCATAACAGCATCAAAATGTAGATGATTATTCACTTTGCCAATTCAGAATTGGATTTTGCATTTCTGCAAGTCTCTCAACAGAAATTCAGAAGAGTCATTAATACTGTGTCAATGTCAAGTACATGCAAATCTCTTTTACGAACCATGGTTCTATTATCAGCTTTGTGATTTATTTTATTTTTTTTTTAATTTGAAAGAATATATGGGACAAAAGTAGTAAATTATATCAAGACAATGATAAATATACTGCAGCTCACTAATGATAGTGCAGGGGAGAGTTTGGCTGAAGGAAGTTGTAGCCATGTGTTAATAAGATATTTTGGTCTGGAGATTTCTTACCATTCAGACATTATGCAGAGCAGGACTAACAGTCAGTAACACATGCTGGGAATTAAAGCTACCTGCTCACTGTCCAGACCTTTGATTACCAAGCCTGGCAAAAATAAATCTTTCAGCAGCAACTGCTTTCACAGCTCTGAGATGTCAAGTGACTGAACGCTGAGAGCTGACAAAGAAACTGATATGAAAATGCCTGTTACAATAAACCATGCATTTTGGGAACACTCACCCTTTCCTGTGCCCACTAGTCAGTAAGGCACCATAGCACACTTTCCATAGTACACTTTCTTTAGCCCAGAGAAATGTGTTTTACCATGAAAGCACTAGTCAGTTTTATCTGCCCCCAAGGTCAAAGATTTTGAGTCCTTCCCTCTGCTAATGGAATCTAAAGCATTTTATTCTAACATATCTGTTAGAACGAAATAAATGTTTCAGAAAACTGTAAAAGTTGTCTTCGGAAACTGATGCTTCTCTTTTTTTTTTATTTAAATTTTTATTTATTTTCCATATATAATACATATTTCATCATTATTCTCATACAAAAACCATTTCCATATCATTAATAACATTTCTTACTATCTTTATTCCCATTTCCCTCCCCCCCTCTATCTAATTTCCCCTCCTCCCTAAATAAAACCTCCCTCCCCCCATGTAAACCCACCCACTCTGCATTGTTCTATTACCTCTTTTCCCAACTAGAATATAGGATATATAAATCCTTCCATCTTTCTCACATTGCTACTTCATATATTTCACCATAAATTCTTCCCATTTTCTCCACCTCTTAGAGAACAACTCCATCCTGTCTTCCTGCATATAACACAATCTCTCCATCCTACATATTTGATTCGTTCTTTCCACCCAGTCCTCTATCTTCGGCACCTCTGGTCTATGCCAAAACTTAGGTATCAGACCCTTCGCCGCATTCAGGTAGCACCATATACCCGAGTCCTTATATTTATTTTACTGATAACTCTGTACTATGTAGTAGACATACTTCTGGGTCCAGTCCTATCTTTATCCCAGAGATATTCTCAATTAGTTGGGCAATTATCTCCCATAAACCTTGGATCTTCGGGCACTCCCACCATATATGATATAACGTGCCTATTTTTCCACAACCCCTCCGTCACCCTTGTGAATTTTCCCCACATACAGTCAGGTCCATAAATATTGGGACATCAACACAATTCTAACATTTTTGGCTCTATACACCACCACAATGGATTTGAAATGAAACGAACAAGATGTGCTTTAACTGCAGACTGTCAGCTTTAATTTGAGGGTATTTACATCCAAATCAGGTGAACGGCGTGTAGGAAGTACAACAGTTTGCATATGTGCCTCCCACTTATTAAGGAACCAAAAGTAATGGGACAGAATAATAATCATAAATCAAACTTTCACTTTTTAATACTTGGTTGCAAATCCTTTGCAGTCAATTACAGCCTGAAGTCTGGAACGCATAGACATCACCAGACGCTGGGTTTCATCCCTGGTGATGCTCTGCCAGGCCTCTACTGCAACTGTCTTCAGTTCCTGCTTGTTCTTGGGGTATTTTCCCTTCAGTTTTGTCTTCAGCAAATGAAATGCATGCTCAATCAGATTCAGGTCAGGTGATTGACTTGGCCATTGCATAATATTCCACTTCTATCCCTTAAAAAACTCTTTGGTTGCTTTTGCAGTATGCTTTGGGTCATTGTCCATCTGCACTGTGAAGCGGCGTCCAATGAGTTCTGAAGCATTTGGCTGAATATGAGCAGATAATATTGCCCGAAACACTTCAGAATTCATCCTGCTGCTTTTGTCAGCAGTCACATCATCAATAAATACAAGAGAACCAGTTCCATTGGCAGCCATACATGCCCACGCCATGACACTACCACCACCATGCTTCACTGATGAGGTGGTATGCTTAGGATCATGAGCAGTTCCTTTCCTTCTCCATACTCTCTCTTCCCATCACTCTGGTACAAGTTGATCTTGGTCTCATCTGTCCATAGGATGTTGTTCCAGAACTTTGAAGGCTTTTTTAGATGTCGTTTGGCAAACTCTAATCTGGCCTTCCTGTTTTTTTGAGGCTCACCAATGGTTTACATCTTGTGGTGAACCTTCTGTATTCACTCTGGTGAAGTCTTCTCTTGATTATTGACTTTGACACACATACACCTACCTCCTGGAGAGTGTTCTTGATCTGGCCAACTGTTGTGAAGGGTGTTTTCTTCACCAGGGAAAGAATTCTTCGGTCATCCACCACAGTTGTTTTCCGCGGTCTTCCGGGTCTTTTGGTGTTGCTGAGCTCACCGATGCGTTCCTTCTTTTTAAGAATGTTCCAAACAGTTGTTTTGGCCACGCCTAATGTTTTTGCTATCTCTCTGATGGGTTTGTTTTGTTTTTTCAGCCTAATGATGGCTTGCTTCACTGATAGTGACAGCTCTTTGGATCTCATCTTGAGAGTTGACAGCAACAGATTCCAAATGCAAATAGCACACTTGAAATGAACTCTGGACCTTGTATCTGCTCATTGTAATTGGGATAATGAGGAAATAACACACACCTGGCCATGGAACGGCTGAGAAGCCAATTGTCCCATTAATTTTGGTCCCTTAATAAGTGGGAGGCACATATGTTGTAATTCCTACACCGTTCACCTGATTTGGATGTAAATACCCTCAAATTAAAGCTGACAGTCTGCAGTTAAAGCACATCTTTGTTTCATTTCAAATCCATTGTGGTGGTGTATAGAGCCAAAAATGTTAGAATTGTGTCGATGTCCCAATATTTATGGACCTGACTGTATCTTATACTCAACCTTCAGTGTAATGTGCCATCTCATGCAGTTTTTTTGTAAAATCATATTTTTGCTTTCACAGGTAGCAGGAGAGCACAAGTATCATCCCGAATGCTTCTTGTGTTCACGATGTGCCTCTTTCATTGGTGATGGAGAAACATATGCTCTAGTGGAGAGGTCCAAGTTGTACTGGTAAGACAGAAAAAAATTTATTTTGGGGGCTAAAGTCAACATATTTGACTGACTTTATATGTTTCTTTGTTGTGCATGAACATAATATCCATTCTGGATATGTTAGGAGACAAAATAAACCAAAAGATTCTCTACTAAAGTTCTGTAAAACAAACATACTTGCATTGTTAATACAGAAGATAGTTTCATGCCATTTTCATAATAATTAATTTAAAAACAAAAGGAGTTTTTTTTTTTCTTGTCTTTGGAGGCTGTAGGAGCCCCGCAAACTATTCCTTTATTCCCTCATGGTAAATTTTGCAGAGCACTCAGTTTATAGAGCCTCATTGATAATGATGGTAAAGCATGAAATACACAAACGTTTATCAAACTGGCATACAGCTGTTTCAGCTTGTTAGAACAAATCATTGCATGATATTCACAGCATAACCAATGTGGAGTAGGATTTGGAGAACAATGAGACTAGATAACTAGCTATAATTAGGGGGCCAAAAATACCAAATAATGTAATATACTGCAGTTCTCCAATCTTTAGATGTGGTGACTGCATTTGTTTTCTTTTTTCCCCCTTATTTGTACCTGGTAAACCTGTGATCAAGTCTGTTATTTCTCAACTTATTTTAACCACTTGTATACCAGCCTGTAATACCCCTTCATTACCAGGACATTTTCCAGTTTTCAACACTGTGATAATTTGACTGACAATTACTGTCATGCAACAGTGCTCCCGAATTAATTTTCTTAAATTAATTTTATATCATTCTTTAGAGAGTTTTCTTTTGGTGGTATTTAATAACTGCTGTTTTTTTAAATGTTTTACTATAAAAAAGGAAAAAAGACCATACAAAAAAAACAGTTTCCCTTATTTTCTTTTAACATACAAATTGCCAGAATAGTTTGAAAAACCCCAAAATTAAGTTTTATGGAAATTAGACACCCCAAAGGGACCTCATTTTTTTGCCACAAGTTTTTGGAAATGAAGAAACATGACGGTACTGAGGGGTTTATACATGGTGCTTGGTAATTGTCTGGTAGATTCAGTAATGTAAAGGTCAGACACAGAGGGAGGAGGCAGTGAAGTGGTTAATGTACTGGTCACATATAGTGACATGATTCAGGGGTTAACATTCAGATGGGTGGGATAAGAGAGGAGAAGGGTTAATATACAGGCCACTAGGGACAGCGCTGGATATAGTATAGGTAGGAAAGGAACAGGAAAGGTTTAACAAAAAAAAAAAGATTCCTGTGTTACAGCAACTGAACGAATGGTTCATTCTGTCCCCATTCACAATTACAGTATCTCTCTCCTTCCCCTGTTGGAAAGGAAAGGAGAGGAATCAGCACTGTAATTAGTACCATGTAATTTCTTTAATGACCAATCACAGAGATTCGCATAGTACCCAGCCACTCGGATCAGCTGGGTACAACATCTCTGTGTATCCAGCTGTCTACACTATGATTAGCCAGCGGATCAGCCACCCGAGGGCTGTTTGTCCTGTGCCATTCATAAACACACTGGGTAAATAAAGGCCCACTGATTTGCCGTTGTTAAATGTACTATGGTATCTAAGTAGTTACCAGTCCAAGCTGTCCAGAAAAAGTGTCAAAGGGTTAGGACAACCCATTTATTACTAACATGGGGTGTAAGTGGTCAACTTCCAGTCATTTATGTAAAACCTTTATGACAAAAGCAAAAATGTTGCTGTAACTCCTTTTAAAAGTGTTAACTTTGGCTCAGCTTTGATTCATTAGTTACAAATTTACCATTTATGTCCATTTTGTCTATGAGTAGATATAGTCCCAGGGTGTCTCTATTGCTTCTTCATAGAGGAGCTACCTATAAAGTGGAATTCCAGTCAAACACTAACTATGCCTAAATTAACTCCCTCCCCCATTCTAAGGCTATTCTAACTACTCTGTAAAAAAAAAAAAAAGATGTCTGTACTTACCTATTCTGAAGCAGCTCCAGTTCGGTCACATGATCGGGTCCCAGTGCTGGCTTCAATGTAGAAGAGAGACAGCAACAACGGCTGCAGAGCTTGGGTGATGACTTCACCCTTCGGCTTACTGAGGGTCTGCCGTTGTTGGCTGTTCCTCCTCTACACTTAAGCCTGTGCTGGAACCCGATCATGTGACCGGACTGGAGTGGCTTCAGAATAGGTAAGTATAGGCATCTTTTCTTTTACAGGGTAGATAGAATAGTCTTAGAATGGGGATGGGAATAGATTTTAGCTTAGTTAATTTTTGGCTGGAATGCCATTTTAAGATGGGAAGGTAAAAAAGACAGAAAAAAATAAAACTAATACCACTACATCTAAGGATTGGTAAGCTGCAATATATTCCATTTCTTTTCTGGGGTTTAGATACACTTCTTAAAACAGAAGGTATTCATATGCCATTTCCATTTAAAGATAATAAATAAAGCAAGTGGATTTGTCTTCATTTAAAGTTGAATTTAGGAATAAAATATAAATATATAATTTGGAATACATATATGAAGGAGGCAAATAATCTGTTTCTCATTTTTGTCAAAGTGGACCATGCTACTATCAAACCTCATTGACTCCAGTGATTGACTCTCCAGTCTCTCGATCACCTCACACAGTGACTCTGGTATCTCTTCCTGCATCAGATGGCAGACGTGGGCTGTCTGTTTCCATCACTCCATCATGTGCTGAGCACTCTCACACTGTGCGAGTCCGTGAGTAAGTACTTCTGTTTTTTCTTTTTTCTTTTTTTTTGACAGACATATTTCATCACTGACCTCCCTACGAACTCTTCAAACTAGCATTTCAATTGTGTACTGGTCATCCAACACATAAACTTTAAAATGGCTCATCTGCTAACACGATACCAATTCATTCAAGATAAACTTAAGCAAGGGTTAAATAACAAATTCTTTAAAAATAATAAGTAACTGCCTAATAAGGTAGAATCAATATGTCAACTGCTAAAGATCATTCAGGAAATATTGCAAGTGAGAAAGTCAAGTTAATTTGTATCTAAAGCCAAACATTTTATTTTAATCGAACAGCACAGAGCACAGACTAGCTATTCATAAAAAAAAAACAACAAAGAAATATTCCCAGCTTAAGAGGGAGCCCACCCCTCCTTAAAGGCACAGGGCGCACTGGACACTTAGCATATAGCACAATGGCAGCAAAGGTGTCCAGTGCATCTCCTCACCAATATACCAACATTACAAACAAACGGCAACTGCCCCAGCCTATAACTGGCCTTTGCAGCAAGGAGCAAATAGAAGGGCGACACATGCCAAACAACAAGAAAGAAAAATTCCCAGCTCAACTTACCAACCAGCCTGCAACCAACCAAATTGTCCTGTCCTACTAACTTTAGCTTGTTCATTTAAACTTTGAAAGAAAACAAACCTGGAAGCTGATTGGTTTCTATGCAGAACAGATTTTGCACTCTCCAGTTTTAGTAAAGCAACCCCTGAGTGTAGTTAGCTGCAGGGTGCTATACTGGCCCAGAGCTGTAATCCATTCTTATGATTCCCAGACCCTTAAGACCGCTTCCGAGTTATGCCAACTGTGATGGGGGAAGCCTGGACCCATACAGGGACAAGTGATGTGGAAAGGTTATCAGGCAATTGCTGTAGCCTTATAGCAAGTATGCAGCTACTTCAGTACAGTACACTGATTAGTGTCTTCTAAATAGTATTGACACTTATGTTAAATATATCAGGAAACGAATTGTGTTTGACTTCATTCACCTATTGAATGTTTAAACTTTCAAACTTGGCTATAAAATTTGGACCATTCAGAGCTTAATCACAAGTAGATGACAAGCTGTTACATCACACGATAGGTTGCATTAATACCACCACTTCTGCCCAGAGCACTTCAAAAGTACTTGTCGCATACTGCCATTTGGCCTATCTTCTGGACCCAGAGCATTCACAAAGGTGCTTGCACCCTGCTCACCTTCTTAAGAATTTTAATTTACAGGGCACCTAGATGACATTCTTCTGAAGGATTTATATCCCTCCAAAACTCTGGAAACCTCCAAAGGTCTATTCAGAGTCCTCAGGCTCTGGATTGCTTTATCAACTTCCAAAAGCCTGCTCCTCAGCTGCTGTTTTGTCTGGAATACTTAGGCCTCATCCTAGACATGGCAAAGGTTTTGCTTCTGGCAAACACGCTTCTGTCTCTATTTCTAATGTCTCATGATTGGACCTTAAGGGCTCATTTACACTTGCTTCAAAATGTGGCACTGGAAACGCTTTTTTAAAGCAATTTGAATGCAAATCAGAGTACCTCTAACTAAATAAAATGTTAAGCTTACAGTTCCGTTCAAACATTGCCTTTGCTTTGCTTCAAAAATTATACCACATGTTTCTTTCTTGGTGCTTCAAAGCATCTCCGAAGCCTTCAGCAGTCTATGACAAAGCTCACTAACAGCACCTGCAGTGTTTGAGGGGCTTTTATTCAGAGTTACCTTGGCGTACTTTTGGAGGTATTGCAGATACAGTATGAGATATCTCAGGATGCACTGGGAAGTCAACAGGTGAACCGGAAATACGTCATCAGCAGTCACTTCTGGTTCATGTGTATACAGTCATGGTCAAACATATTAACAACCTTGCATTTCTGTCAGATACTTCGCTCAGAAAATTGTTGCAATTACAAATGTTTAAAAAATGGACTAGACAAAATTATTGGCACCCTCAATTTAATATTTGGTAGCACACTCCTTGGAAAAAAATAACTGAAATCAATCTCCTAAACATTTGTAGAAATGCAGGGGTGCCAGTATTTTTGGCCATGACTGTATATTTTGCAAGCGTATAGTACAGACATCACATCTTGTGTGCAGCGTGGAACAGCTGAAAGGTGAGTGGGGTCCGGAATGGAGCGGAGCAGCTAGCAGATGGCACACATGGTCTGCAGCAAGGGAATGCTATAGCAGAAGGTGAACAGGGACTGGAGAGAGAGGACTGAGCATCAGAGGATCAGCAGAGCTGGCAGACTGGAGCAGGAGAAACTAGCAATGTCACACGTGGTACGCAGTGTGGGGAGCAATATAGCGGGAGGTGAGCAGGGACCAGAGAGAGGATCAGCAGAGCTGAGGGTTACTACTGAGCAGGGGATCAGCAGAGCTGGGTGTTACTACTAAGTTTCTACTGAGCAGGGGATCAGCAAAGCTAGGGGTACTACTGAGTGGGGCATCAACAGAGCTGGGGATACTACTGAGCAGGGGACAACAAGGGTACTAATAAGCGGGGAATCTGCTGATCAAGGGCACCAAAGAGCTGGGGATCTGCTGAGTGGTAAAGGGTAAAAGGCTTAAAAGGTACTACTGGGTCCCTTTAAAACAAAAAAAATTAGCACACAGGGCATTTGACAAGCTTTATTAACCTCTTAGAGGATTTAACCCCCTCACTGAGCAGGCCATTTTTTTTGCGATATGGCACTCCATTACTTTAACAATAGTACGGTCATGCAACGCTGTACATAAATTAATTTATGTCCTTTTTTTTCCACAAATAGAGCTTTCGTTCGGTGGTATTTGATCACCTCTGCGGTTTTTATTTTTTTTGCGCTATAAAAAAAAAAAAAACAACAATTTTGGGGGAAAAAAAAAAAACTATATTTTTTACTTTTTGCTATAAAACACATCCAGTAAAAAAAATTAAAAATCAAATGTCTTCATAAATTTAGGCCAAAATGTATTCTGCTACATGTCTTTGCTAAAAAGATCCACTACATGTAAATTAATTGGTTTATGTGAAAGTTATAGCGTCTGCAAATGGCGGTACGTATGCTGGAATGTTTTTGTTTTTTTTATATACTAGTAATGGCGGTAATCAGCAACTTATAGCGGGACCGCGGCAGGCATTCTAACACTGGGTGGGAGCTAACTGCCACTGACATCTCAATGACACTAATACAGTGATCAGTGCTAATAAAAAGCACTGACACTGTATTAATGACACTTGGCAGGAAGGGGGTAATATGTGGGGCAATCAAAGGGTTAACAGTGTGCTGTTTTACATGATGTGCTGTGTGTGTTTTACTAGGGAGACATGCTGCTGTGTATTTCTCTGCTGTGCATAGAAATACACAGCAGCATGTCCTTGCTGGCAGGAGAGAGACCTGTGTTGTTTGCACACAGATCTCTCCCTGTCAGCTTTGCCCGGTGATTGACATCCCTAGCCGCCGTGATTTTGCACAACCCTGCCACGCTGCAGCAGTAGTTCTACTATAGGGAAGCGGGAAAACGGTTAAAGCTTCAAAAAAGCATCACAGAAGTGTAAAAAACACATCAAAAAAGCATGCTGAAGTGGTAGGCATTTAAAATGGTTTTAAAGGTTGAAGATTTTTTTACTATTAGGCATTCTATGCATGAAGGTAAAAAAAACCTTCAGTGTGCAGCTTCCCTTCTCAATACCCCCTTACACTCACCTGATCCCGATCCAGCGATGTGCACAAGAGCAGAAGCTCTCCTGGGTCTCTGCCTTCTCATTGGCTGAGACATAATTGCTCTCGCTGTTGTCAATCATAGCTAGTGAGGGGGGAGTGGCTGTGGGACCGAGCCGCACTCTGTGTGTCTCATAGCTATACACTTTTTATTCCAAAAGTGTTTGGTCTCGCTTTTACTTGTTAAAACCTTCATTCATGGTGTATCATGGATCAGATCCTTGTTAGAGCAGCCTTTGCTTCCTTGGGATCTCTATTTGGTTTTCTCTGCAGAAACCACTCTTTGAACCCATTTGGTCCTCTCCTTGGGTGATCTCTCCTGCAAAGTGGCTTTAGTGGTGGCTATTACATCTGGCAGATGTTTTTCAGAATTAGCAGCTCTCTCTTGTAAGGAGCCCAGTCTTCATAAGGATATTATGTATAGAGAACCCTCAGCGCAATGGACCTCCTAACGAACTTGTGTGGCTAGCTATCACGGTGTAAGGTCAGGTTCAGAGACCAGTTGCTATAGCAGTAAAAGGCTTACCTGGAACCAGCAGGATAGGTACACCAGCGGATCCCCCTGGGAGTGACGCAGGCTCACCTGAGGTGTGGGGTCTAAGTATTAACCGGTATTCACCAGAGCTCCTAATGGTGGAGATGGATTGGGCTGCGTGTTAATACCAGGTCGCAGATCTCAGGATCACCCCACCAGGGAATGAGCAGACTGGGAACCAATAGCGGATCAACAGGTTAGGGATCAGACGAAAGCAGAGTCGGTCACAAGCCAAGGGTCGGTCACAAATGGTAGCAGATCAATCGTGGTCAGGAACAAGCCAAAGGTCAGTAGCGGAGGTGTAGACAGCAGCAGGAACAGTAGCAGGATATTGGCTGGAAAGGCACAATAATCTGGCAAGGAGGAAGTCCAAGGACATGGCTTATATAGGAAGTTCATGGGAGGAGCAAGGAGTTCAAGGTTCAAGAGCAAACAAGGCACAAGGCAGGATTATCCAATAGATGAGGCAAAGTGTTGTCCAGCATCCCAGGTAGCTCAGTGAGTAGAGTTACTGCCCGACACAGTAGAAGTCCCAGGTTCAAGTCCAGGCCCTGACAGTAGCATATAATGTGTTCCCACATGTAAAGCATAAATAAATGAAGAAATGCAGTGCAACAGTATATCTACAAGTATGGTGCTACCAATATAATACGTGAATATATAAGTAGTGAAAAATAGAAGACTGTGCCTGTGAAAATCAATGTGTGCTATACCAGATGTCTTACTAATG